TTTTTTTTTTTTGACTCAGGTTGAGTTCACATTGACTCCATGTTTACAAAGTAAATATGGCAAGTTGCCATATTTGGGCACATTGCTTAACATGTTTGAGATTGGTTTCATTCATCTAACGTATATTGAAGCTTACCATTTGTCAGGCATTATACTGTTTAGTTCTTATTTAAACTTCACAATCTCTTCTCCCACCCCCTTTTAAAAAATAGATTAGGAAACTGGAGTTTTAAGGCTAGTAACTTGCTCTAGGTTGTATAGTGAGTAAGTGGCAGATTAAGGATTTGAGCCCAGATCTCTTTGATGCCCAAATTTCAAGCTCATAACTTCTAAGCCAGTGGTTCTCACACTTTAGTGTACAGAATTACCTGGAGAGCATACATTGCTGGGCCCTAGAGTTTCTGGTTGTGCAGAGGGCCCAAGAATTTGTATTTCTAACCATTTCCCAGATGTTGATGCCACTGGCCCTGGGAACTGTACTTTGAGAACCACAGTTCGGTACTATGTTGCCTGACCTGATTCCCCTGATAAGTAAATGAGAGAGTCCACACGTGCTTACGTTAATAATCACTGTTGTTTGTTGACTACTTATTTAATACTTGTCCTAGACACTGTTCCAAGTTAATTCCTTTTTATCATCATACTGGTCTTAGGAGGTAGTTAAACTGTGGGGAGAGGATGTCGGGGCTGTGATCAACACTTAATAGAGAAGGAAACTGAGGTAGAGAGAGGTGCCCAATAAGTGAGTCACACTGAGTCAGTGGCAGAGCTGGTTGCCCTCATACTGTTCTGTCAGCCGAGCTGGTTTGGAAGTCTGGTGTCCCTGGAGCCTTCTCCAGAGACTTCATACTATGGGAAGGTTGAGAGAAAAGAAAACCCTTCTTTTATCCATCAGTGTTTTGTGTCTTTGGGGGGCTATTACAGCCTAGGCCTGGGAAGAAAGGATTTCCCTCCTTTTCATATCGTTCTTCCTGCATTCTGAGGGGTAGGTAACACACTTTGTTATTCAGATGAATGGCGTGATTCTGAAAATGAGCTATGTTTCAGTCGAGCTATGAGATCTTAGATCTTCATTAGCACACATAAAAGGGATTCCAGGAGATTTCATATGTAAGAACCATGCTAGTGGTGCCAGTGTATTAAATTAGAAAATAATGGTGGTGGCCACCTTACAACAAGACATTCACTCATCTATAGTGTTAACCTCCCATGGCTGCTCCAACAGCAAGAAAAATCTCAGAATCAAAATGGAAGAGAGTGAGAGAAAAAAAATCAATCCATAATTAAGTCTGAAACCTGTACTCTGCTTAAGAAACTGTGGTTTTTCTGTGCGTTTTAAAGAGAAATTTCCTAAAGAAAACGTGTCTTTTAAGAGAAAGTCATCTTAATGGGAAAATAGTCCAAGGAGAAAGTGTAAGGCAGTTTTAAAAGGTGCAATCACGTTGATATATGAATACTTTGTGTTTGGTTCCATTAAAAATTTTGTTGAGTGACTGTTATGTACAAGATACTTATAAAAATGAGACATATTTGTCCTTCCTCTCAAGGAGAAGTCATAGTAGACCTCACTAAACACATAGTTGAGTGTTTAATTTACCTAAGAGCATGACATCTGAAATTAATGTAGCCTGGTGTGTATCTCGGAGGTACTGATATGATTTTCATGATCGCAATGTTTGAATTGTGGGACAAATTTTTCTTTTTAGTGGGATGGCTGTTTCACAGCAGAGGTAGAGCTAGATTCCAGGCCTGCTTCGCTCTCAGCTTGGAGTTCTCCCTGATTTAAGATGGCTTTATTTATTTATTGTGTAGATTTATCTCCCAGACTTAAGCTGTGAACTTTCAAAAGGGTATTATGACTTATCCTACTTCTTTGGATATTCAACTGTGTATTTTCTCCTTGGTGTTTTTTTGTTTGATTTTGCATTAAGGTTTGGAATGCAGTAGTGCAAACTCTGGGAACAATCACGAACGACAAAACAAGGAAATGCAACTTAGGCACTTCACTTGCAGTCAGGGTGCTAAATTTTGACGTATGTGGTGTGACGGAAAGAATCACCGGTGTATCTATTCTGGTTTGTTATAGGTTAACGAAGCCCTTGTCATTTGCTGATTGTGTTGGGGATGAGCTGCCGTGGGGATGGGAAGCAGGGTTTGACCCTCAGATTGGTGTCTACTACATCGATCACATCAACAGTAAGTTCTCCTTTTTGATGAAAGAAAACATATCAGAAAAGTAATCCCCCCAGACCTATAGTCATACAAGAGGGTAAAATACGCTTTGTAAGTGAATTTCCTTATTTTAAACTCCATTTTCTTAGTGACTGATATTTAACTGAAGTGCTCATTTTGGTATTTGGGGTATGTATGTTGAGCTGTGCTCCTGAGGGCAGAGAGGGAGAAAGGGTTGCCTGCCTGCCTGGTGCAGAATGGGTTTTCTTCTTCAGCACAGGTCTAGCGGCCTGTGGAGATCAAGAGTGTTGGGCTCTTGTCTCGGTGACCACTGCACCTTCCATTTGGTCCCTCCTTTTCTTGTGCTTGCCACAGAAGGAGCTGGGCACTGCCACAGTGTGGTCTAAAGACACAGCTGTTTTTGGTTAGGGTGGTGGAGGGAGGGATGATGCCCATCAGCGACTCTGGAAGACATAGCATAGCTGAAGAAAAGCCCTCAGCCCTTTTCTTCTCTCTGTGTCTTGATTTCTTTGTGGCAGGAAAACCTCTCATTTTAACAGCTTTTAAATCTGTCACGTCCCTGACATGCTAATCTAAGGCAGAGGATTACTGTGGCCATGAGCAACCTTTTAAAAACACATATTGAAGTATTTTTTATATATTTGTGTGTGTGTTTATGTGACTATTTAGCTCTCTACTCACCCCTTTAAACATTTATTCGGATGGTATAATAGCATATAGTACTCACATTACTTGTTTTGCTTATTGCATTTAAAAGTAATTATTTTATTATAGACTTCAGGGAATAAGGGAATACATAATGAATTGTATATGATAAATTTTTCGAGAGGCCCAAAACGCCTCTATTTATAGCAGTGAGGTACCCCCTTACAGGTAGGTGAGAGGGACAAGTGGAAGAGACAAAGCTGAGGTGTGAGGCCAGGTTTTCAGCGAGCACATACAGCGAGCAACCTGTTGTAGTGAACATCTGCTGTACACAGTTTGGGAACCAGCTTTCATGCGTACTATATGTTAGTTCAACATGACACTGCTATTGTCACTTGTAGAAAGTGACAATACAAATGACATTTGCTACAAGTTGTTGCCTCAGCCTCTTTTATATGATTAGAAGAAATATGGCATTTTTGGGTAGAGATATTCTCTCTCCCTGAAAGTCTCTAAAAAGTCCATGAAGAATTAATAATTTTTTAAAGTTACTTTTTAATTTTGTGTTCTATAATAAACCTTTCTTAATACTACCATATTGTATACTAGGTTTTATTGCTTATCAGTGATTGACAACCAGATGTTGTAATCTGTAAGGGTGGGAAGAACTAATTTTGGTAAAATTAAGTTCATTTTAAACAACTATGATTCATCCTTATGTCACTGCAAATAAACAATTCAAAGGAACATCTGAAATGTATAACTATTTAACTCTCCCTTCTATACTTACTTTAGATGGATAAATGTTTAATATTCTTTCCTTAAGTAATATTTGGGAAACCAGAAACCAACCCTGGCTGTCCTGATCGAACGGCAATAAGCTGTCATGGTACCAAAATGCAAAATGAATTTCCTCAGCTTACCACCCACCACATACGGACTCTTTGGGATCCAAACCCAGCGTCAGGGCTTTCTCTTCTTTTTCAGTGAAAGAGGTATTCTTCTGGACGGCACTACCGCTGCAGATACCTCTTAATAACTTTTATATTTCCTCCTTTTCTCATGTTCAATATCTTTACCAGTTATTTCCTGGTTTTAAAAATTTCTCCCACAATTTCTAGTGGTTCCTTTTTTTTTTTTTTAAGTGTAAACACTGGAAATTCTCAAAATGAAATGAAACCGAAATTACAAAAGAAAAAAACTAATAGATAACAGTAAACTTCCTCCCCACCCCCTCAGAACCATCTTCACCCCAGATCCCTGTCCGGCTGTGGTCCTCTCGTTCCCTTCACACCCAGCGTGAGCTCCCCTCCCTCCATTGTTCTCCAGCCACCCACAGAACTGCTCTCGCCCAGTGCACTGGAGCCCCACAAATTCCAAACAGCACTTTAGTCTTGTCTTCTTTGGTTTGTCACTGGGAGTTATTCCTTCCTGCTCTACTCCTTTGGATTTTGTGACATGGGATTTTTTTTTTTCCACATACCTGATCGCACCTGCCCAAGTTTCTTTTGCCTGTCCCTTTGTCACCTGCACCCACTGCCAGGATTTCTGCAGTAGTCTTCTGCTGTTTGCACCCCGCAGATCTCCTTGGCAATGACTTCCATTACTTCCCTCAGGCTGCTGCCCGCCAAATCTGTCTAAGTCTTTTCCAGAGTCCCAGATGCATATATGTTTGATCCTTAGTTAGAAGGCTCTTCCCATTCTGCCCCCACTGGCCTCTCCCTTTTCATCTCCTGCCCTGGTGCAGCAGTGCCTTATGCTTCCTTAGCTTCTGCCTTTCTCTGCACCTGCAGCATCTAGGCTAAGCACTCTCTGCCTAGCCCCCAGGCCCTCCCTTTGACCGACTGCCACATGCCTCTAGGGTCTGTCTGCTCAGGGGCCACTGCTTTCCAAAGGCCTTCTCTGGCAGCCACCCTTCACCCCCCAAATTGCCGCCCCCTCCTGGGGTAGGTGCCCTGTGCAGGTATTTCTGTAGGGCCAAAAATCATTGTCATATTGCATTTAAATTATTTATGTTTTCCTCACTAAATTGTGAGCTTCTTGAGGGCAGTGAGCTGCATGTTTTCTTTATCCTTGGTAGTACAGTGATAAACTTAAACGTTAAAAGGAAGAGCTTTACTGTTTAACTCAAAGATTAAAAGCTTTTTGTTTTTTTTAGAGGAATTAAAAGGAAGGACAGCAATAAGCTCTCATTTCAAGTATAAATTATGCTTCAGAAAACACCATTCTGAATATTTAAAAACTTGATTATCAGAATATAAATTTTCAAGTCTGCTATTTTGCTTTAGCATAGTAATCGTATTCTCGTGGCCTGATGGATTTACTGCACCCTAACATACCCAAATTACCCACAGCAAGTACTTTGCCCGCTGAAAAGTATTCGGCCCATTATCTCATTAATCTTCAAGACATTCCTGTGAAGTAGTTTAGGGAGCAAATGGTATTATCTGCTCATAACAGCTGGTCCACGCATATGTTGTGCTTTGACATTGTATAGTTTCAGCGTTATTTTCTCTGTATGTAAATAAAAAATAAGGAATGTTTGCCTGTTTAATACTGTTTCCATGAAACACTATTTAGACGTAAAAGATCTGACCTTGACAGTGATAGTTATTTGGGGCCTTAAGTGTTTCATGATAGCATTCACCTTTTAGTGGGCACGTGTGGTGGGGGTACAGATATTGATGGGAGATGTTTGTAACTAACTAGAAGGTAATTATAAGGTATGGTTTATAAGGTTTTGATATTATTACTACGATCAGAGGTTGATCACCTTTTGGTAGGGTCAGAATTGTACCATAATTTTTTTTCTTTCTTTTGGTAATCGAGGTTTCATTTACATACACAAAAGTGCACAGATTTTCAGTATGTACTTTCAGTGAATTTTGACAAATATATAATCCTTTGTAGCTGCCACCCCAGTCAAGAAACAGACTGTTTTCATCACCTCAGTAAGTTCTATATTGCCCCTCAAGTCAGCCCTCCTGCTGCAAACATTGTTCAGATTTCTATCACCATATCTTAGTTTTGCCTGTTATAGAACTTCATATAAAAGGACTGTGTTTGATTTGGGGAATAGATTCTTCACTCAACATATTTTTAAAGAATACGCTACTGATATATATCCTAGCATGGGCGAATATTCATAGTAAGTATATTTGACAAAGAACCTTTATCTAGAACATAAAACAACTCCTGAAAATTGACATTATAAAGACAACTTAGCTTAAAAATGGACAACAAACAAAATGGACAAAAAAAAGATATATCAGTGGTCATATTTATATTCATCTATGATATTGTGTGTATCAGTAGTATATTCCTTTTTATTGTATAAGCAAATCACTATTTTTAAAATCTGTTAAATCTATTCTATAATTTCAGTTATTCCAGTTTTAGGGTATTATGAAAAAGGTTGCTATGAACCTTATACAAGTCTTGTTTCATTGTGTTAAAAAATATAAAAGTTAGTATCTTTACCATTTTCAAGTGCACAGTATATTAGTGTTAAATATATGCACATCGTGCAACAAATCCCTTGAATTTTTTCATCTTGCCAAACAGAAACTCTATATTCATAGGACAACTCCCTTTTCCCCCTGTTCTCTGTTCTTGGCAACCACCATTCCACTTTCTGATTCTAGAAGTTTGACTATTTTAAACACTTCATCTATTTTATGAAATAAGCATTCGCAAAATGCTGTTTCATCGAGTGTAATGTCTTCAGGATTCATCCGTATTGTAGCACAGGAAAGAATTTCCTTCTCTTTGAGGCTCCGTGATATTCTGTTGTAGGTATATACAGCATTTTCTTTACCCATTCATCTGTTGATAGACATTTAGGTTGCTTCCACCTCTTGACAGTTGTGAATAATAAATGCTACGATTAACATGAATGTGTAAATCTCATTGAGATCCTGTTTTCAGTTCTTTTGGATGAATATCCAGAAGTGGAATGGCTGGATCATATGATAGTTCTGTTTAATTGAGGAATGTCCTACTGTTTTCCATAACAGTTGCAGCATTTTGCATCCCCACCAATAATGCATGAGGGTTCCAGTTTCTCCACATCCTCACAAGCATTTGTTATTTTCTGTTTTTGTGACTGGCCATCCTAATGAGTATGAGGTGATATCTCACTCATCTCATGTGGTTTTGAATTGCATTTCCCTGATGATTAGTGATGTTGAACGTGTTTTTATATGCTTCTTGGCCATTTGTATATCTTATTTGGGTAAATGTCTAGTCAAGTTCTTTGCCCATATTTTAATCGGGTTATTTGTTTTGTTGTTGTTGAGTTGTAAGAATTCTTTATATATTCTCAATATTAACCCCTTATCAGATATATAGTTTGCAAA